TCAGAGTAACGATTCTGAATTTCCATCTGATTCTTTCATATTTATCTCTTAGAGGATGTCTAGATCATGCAAGGAATGACCAATTTTGTTTTCTCACATTGAACCATGAAATGTGAACACCTGCCAATAAGAACACTTTTGACAATGCTGTCCAAATGGCATTGGATTTAAACAGGTTTTACTGTACATGTAATGAAAAACCCAAAATGAAATTCAGTTTTTTATTGAAACCATAAAAACAGGTCATGGGATTTCACGTCTATTTCACTCCTCTTTTTCCTTCAAGATTACAAATTTGCATGTTCCTTATTCCAAATATCAGAGTAACGATTCTAAATTAAACAGTTTTTACTGTACAAGTCATGGAATTTCACGTCTATTTCACACCACTTTTTCGGTCAAGATTTCAATGAAATGCCTCATTTTGTATAATTCCCCACTTAGGTGTCATACCTGTTATTTCATTCCTTGCTAATTCCTCTCAAAATCTTGCATTCTACAACCGTGACAACCATGTTATGTTTTCCAAGCTTCAATGTTTTCTTCGTAATATTATACAACACAATTCCAGCTATGAGACAACACAAAAGCAAATCCATAGATTTCAATTTCAATGAATAAATTCTTCTGCTTCTGACACCCTGTGTCTTGATTTCCTTTCACTCAATCTAAGACACCTTGAGATTATATCCTCAGTGATGCTATAGGAAGAATAACATATGACTTGTATGCATCAAAGCGTACAATAAAACTTGTATATCTGAACACCTCTGTATTCAGAACACCTTCCAATATGAACACTTTTTGCGTTATAATTTAGGAACTTAAAAAGTGAATACACGCTAATCCAAACACTTTTAACAGGTCCCTGCAGTATCATTAAGAATAGGCAGGTTTACTGTAATAATTATGGTACTTCTGTGAGCCCTACACCTCTCTGTAAGCTTTTTCAAAATGAACAATATGAACAATTTTACCTCGCTTTTAAGATTTCAATAAACATAAAATCTACATGGCTAAATTACAGTTTCTCAAAATTGTGAGAAAAAGAAAGATTTCAAAGCAAAAAATCGCCTCCATCACTGGTTGCTAAATCTCTCCTGGCCTTGCTCCTCCCATGAATTACACCACCTGAGATTCTGCCGTTTTTTAATAATTCAGATGGAACCCGACTCCATACCTATTTCCTGTTTACAATAATCTCTTGCATATTCCAGTCTGCTCCTCTCGATATAATACATATAAAATTCCGTTTAAAACAGAACCACCACGATATTTTTAAAGAGAAATTATACAACAAGTGTCAACAATGAAAAAGTCGAAATACATTAACAAATTCAATCCGACAAATAGCTTCATATAATTCCCCTACTTGTTACAGATTAACATAAAAATCAATAGAAAATGATTACCTTCTACAATCTGCAGATTTTAATTCCAATGAATATCACTCTGGCTGGCAAATGGCATAATAATTAATACAAAAGGTAGCTAGGCAAAATGTCAGATTAAGTCGTGATGCTGGGATGAGGTGAGTTGTTTCGTTCATCTAGGAACGACAACCTCTGGTAATTACCCTTTTAAAGTGCTAACCTTGATCTGCACTCTTAAGTTAGAGATAATTTGTTGATTTAGCCTATATCCAATCAGAACATGCAGTTGGATTCTACATTTCAGACATAGAAAGCGAACATTCATTCTGCATTAAATGAAAAGAAATTCAATGAAAAAATGCATGGGGATTCCTTTTTCAGCTATTTGGAATAGTTATTATTACTTTGGTAACATTTAGACTCTAGCCAGTGATCTCCCCTGCATTAAAGCAAGTGGGCACAGCACCCACCTGAGATTTTGAAAATAGGCTTGCACCTACCTGAAAATCCATTTGCACCCACTTGAAAATGAGAAAAATCATGAAAATTTTTAACCAATTTTGATCTGAATTGTGAAAGTGGGAATTTTGCACCCACCTGAGAAAAAATCCTGGGGAGAGCACTGCTACCTATAGGTCTCCTTGTCCATTTTTCCATACTTCAATTAGTATAGGTGCCATATACATGCACAAATCAAATACTTAAATTAGACTCAGCCATGTTTGGTTTGACAACTTTGACTATCCATACACCTTACGGAATACAATTAGTTTTCTATGTTATCTCAAAACAACCAGTCCTGAAACTCTCCATAAAATCTGTAAATGTTTAGTTTGATGTTGTTGCATCCTATCTCATCTTTAAAACATTTATTTCACTCTTTTTCCCCCTATTTTGCATTTCAAAACATGACCCTAAATACAGTTCATTCCTGAGCATATATTTGTATTAGGGATAATTGCAATCTATAGATATTGATATCTCATTCAGGCTAATGACCAGCCTTGCTCAAAAAGGGCGTCTGCTTATTACTTTTCCCGCTATTCCTCTCTAAAACTTGATTAAACTCTCTGATTTTCTATCAGTTTTATATGATTAAGATCATCTACTTTATGGCAGTTTATTTAGTTTCGTTTAAAATCTAAATACTCAGCCTGAATTTTGGATTTTAAAAAATGACCAGTGTGACGTCAATGGTGAGTATTTCAACAGCTTTATTGCCGTACAGTAGCACTATCAATTTGTGCAATCTACAGGTCATTAATTTGGAGACCTTGCCTTCTAATGCTTCTACTTGGCGCAAAATGTGAGTGCTGCTTGTCTTCAAAATGCAAAATACTATCCGAAAGCACTTTAATATAAAAAATAAAATACATCAACATCTAACCAACATGCTTAATGGCGTAGAAAATTTAGAAAATAAGACACATTTCTCAGAATTTAATGCGAAATTGCAATTATTAATGATGATGCTGGTGGCATATTAACCACAGACAGATGATAGTTAGGCCATTTTTCTAGCTTTACAACCATGTTTTCCAAATCTGCTTAAAGACAAGTGAAGACATTTGTTCCCAATTTATTGAGAAATCAATAACGGTAAAACTTGTGAAATGGAACACCTCAGTAGGTGGAATTCCTTTGTAGTGGCTCAATATTCAAAATGCATTTACCCTTTAATTTAATATAAAATGAGCCTCTGTAAATAGAACACCTCCAAAAATAGAACCTGGGCCTCTAGGAAGACCAGTACTGTACTGATAGAGCTACCCAGAATAAATATAGTTTTCAAATCAAATCAAATCAACATTATTTTGAGATAACAAAGGTGTGTTCCACTTACGCAGTATTGTATTTGCAAAAATCAAAAGAGAAACACTGATAATATCAATCATGCATTCATGCCTATTTCTCACTATTTCTCTCTAAAATGTAAAAATGAGATTTTCTAAAAATGAGAATTTCTAGGAATTCTACATAATTTAGAGTGTTGATTACAAGCTTATTTACTCTATGCCTTCTTAAACCATTCTATTTTTATATTCTACATTTCACCATCAGCATTTTTCGTATAGGAATTCAAAGTTATTCTATTTTATACTCGTATAAATGTCCCTTCTCCCCATAGAATCTACATACTATATTCAATTCTCCATTTCGCTGTTCGCTCTTTGAATCAGAACGTTCGCATATATGGTGCATATATGTACTCAAAAAGGACAAAATTTGATTGGTCAATATTTTTCAACGATGCATTTCGTGTAGCTATTTGTGAGACCCGAAAGTTCTAAATCAAATTAATTACGCAATTTTGTTTTTACACCCGCAAGCTAAATAAAAAAATGACACCATCGGAATTCTTCTTCTTTGTCATTGAATTAATAGTCAGTATACCAGATTTAATCAATAAAAGATTATACAATTAACAACAAAATTCGGAAACGAGTATGTAAGATTTGCTTTCGAACCACTAAACTTGACCTAGATAATAGCGACGTGTCTTCTTTGGTCAAATGCTCAGTTGTTTGTGGGTTTTCAACGTAACTCTATAATGTAATATGAAGATGAGTACTTTTATTCAGTTGTTGCATCGATGTTACAGTTTGTAGTGCGGTAATATTGGCATGAACGTGTTGAAAGTCGAATGGAATTGCTTTTTCCAATATGGCGACTAGTCACGTGACTTCTTCTCTTCCGGAATATACTCCCATTTTCAATCATTGTTTTCACCCCGTTAGGAGCCAATAAAATGAAAAAAATATATGTTATATAAAGATTATTAAAAGACTAATTGTTTCTGATAGTTTGTTTTCTCCGATCGCATGGAGATTCGATCGAAAATATCGCTTGAAAAATGGGTATGAAAATCCCCATGTTAAACCAACGGGGAAAAACAAGGTAGAAAAATTTTGTTCCCCCGCGAACTGCATCATGGGAAATATTTTGACCTTATAAGGAAAAACTTTCGCGCCATCTTTATTAGAGATTCAATACTACCGAATCCGCGATTTTAAGAATTGCTTAAAGAGCTGAAAGAATCAAATTCGATCAGCGAAAACTTCATTCATGAAATAACATGGGAAAACTTGATAAATTCGCTTTCATTTGAAATTTACTCTTCAATCAGTTAAGATAATTCTTTTCAGAAGTCAACACAACTTGTAACTACGACAACCTGAACTGGCTTCTTTATATTGCTTGACGATGATATGACTCAATTGTATAGTAGAGCCAATATTTACAGTCAATTCCTTCAATGAGATATTACCTTAAGGACACATATAGTGACATCTATATATGGATGAATCTAGTAAAATAACAATCATTTTAATCAAATGGCATACCAATTGAATATCCCTTAACATGCTGTCAGATATACTTATCATTTCGCTGATTTAACTTATATTTATATCCATAATGCATGCTTAGTTTTGTTGAAAGATATATTATCCACAAATAACTGAACACTTAAGTTCTGATATTTCTACCTCTTTCCCATTTCCTCAAAGATGTTCATATGGCATAGGAAGGAATATGATAGAGGGGGGGGGGGGTGTTATAATCATGACTCATCCAAGCAAAATTAGTGCATTCAAAAATATTAGTCCTACTCAAAGATGTACTCACATTTAGGGAAGCTCTTCTGGATGGAGGTAGTAATTGTACTTGACGTTCAAGACGTAATCGTTCTTTGGCAGCCTGTTTGATAATAGACTCAAGCTCAGATTTTTCTTCATAAACATGGCCATTCTGTAAAAATGAAAAGAATATGCTAACATTATCAGAGACAATATTTAATAACACATAGAAAGAAGATAGTAAAGGTAATTTTACTTGATCTAAGAAAGATAAAAGAATGTCTTGCTTATTAATTCTTAAGAGACCTGTAATCTTTTCAATATGCCAAGGAAAGGTCAATTCATTTTTTACTATTCAATCATTATGTGTTACATTTTACAGTTTATATATTTCTAATAACGCATTCTTGCTCAAATAAGCATAACAAATCAGAGTGTTCCCATCTCTGAATTTACTTAAAGCAAATGGTCAATATTGTGTGAATACACTGAGGGTGTACTAAATATTTGTGAAATAACGAAAACACCTGATTTATTCCCATTTCTCTGTTAGCTCATTGTACATTAACCTGCATATTAAACAACCATATGTAAATTAGTATACTCTTCATAAGGGAAAGGCTGAAAATATGTATTTAAGCTTTACACATATTTAAGCTTTACACATATTTAAGCTTTACACATATTTACGAGGCTCCTTTGGATTACTGTCTCTCTCAAATGGTTTGTTCAGGAAAGTATTTTAAACTTTTTCCCTCATACCTTTATACTCAATGGGGAAAAAATAACAAGGGGAAAAGTGCTCCATAGAAGGGCATAATTTTACATGATCACATACACAAACAGGTTGGACTATGCAGAACAGAATAATGTACCAACAGAAAGGAATTTTTGTTTTGCTTTGTATAGAACAAGTTTGGAAAAACAGTGCAGTATTGATGCGTAACTCCACCTCCTTTTAGTTAAACATGACCAACCTCTAAATGATTGCTTTTATTGCTGAGCTCTTCAGTCAGGTTTTGGCACTGGTCTTTAAGATCTTCGATTTCTTTATCTTTAGCGAGAATATTCTTAGCATGCTCCGCTAAATCTTTGGCTCTCTGGCGAGCAAAAACTTTTTTCACATGGTCAGCATCTTGGGAGTTCCCCTCCTTTGGACGCTGGAATTATAGAAGATGGTGATAACATGGACCATAATGCAACTGTACAATATGAATACAATGTCATGTATTTCACAACATACAACTTCCACTATCTTTAAAAACTAACATATCAACTAAACCTAGAAATAAAAATGGGAGGAAATAAAAATCAGTTACAATATTATAAATCAATGTGCCATCTTTTGAAATGTGCAAAAAAATCATTATCCGATCAATCAAATCAAGTTGTATTTTGGGTTTCTGGTGATTCTTTTCCTATTCCAATCAGTGTGGCAATGAAGTATCTTTCTGACATGATGTTACCCCTATATTGACTGCATATTTGACAAATTAAACACTATATTCATAAGTGGCACATGGAAGAAATAATTATGAGGGTTGTCCAAAAACTCTCTGTGTGTAATTCCTTCAAACTTTACAAATTGGGCAATAATGTTTGAAAATCATCAAAGTGAAATATGAAGTCAAAATAATAAAATTTAATGAGATAAAAGCAAAAATTTCAACTTTCTAAACAACCCTCGTATACACATACCTGCATGGCATTTTACTATTCCATTTACACAGGGTTCGTACACCTTTTTCAAAATGAATTTCCCTGACAATTCCCTGACATTTCCAGGCGAAAAAGGAAATTTCCAGATCTAATTTTCCTCGCGCGCTTTCTAAAAAGTCTCAAACAACTGTATTATTCAAGACTTATTATGAAACATTTGGGATTTCTCCTTCAGTACCATTTCTCATGACTTAACTACTTGTACAGGCAGTCTTATTCACCAATTTATTCCTGATACATTTTATTTTTAATATTACATATTTTACATTGCATAAGGCCAAAGGTAAACATACATGTACAGGGGCATAGCCAACAAGTATCAAGGAGGTGCATCATTTGGGGTTTGCATCACTGCGAGCGAAGGAAAACCAGAAGGGGGGTACGGGGGTTCACCCCCGGAAATTTTTCAAAATTGACAATTGTATATGGTGCATTCTAAGCATTTCAAACTATAATTTGTTAATGTTTTGTAATGAATCCAAATGACAACTGAAACTTTAAAATTTTGATCTAAATCCTACTAGAAAAATAGCAACCCACTTGAGGGGCAATTACCACCTAATGAAACATATTTCTATTGAATACTATCATTGTTAACATTATATGATAGCAATAACCTGGCATTACTATTGTCTTCTCCCTTTTGGGACATTTTCACCAAAACAATTGACACCATATTAGAAATTCCTTCTCAAGTAGCATCACCAGATCACGAAAAGGCTCAGGCCTATGATACCAAATCAAATAATCAGTATTTTGTGTTATCAGGAATCAAATTTCTTTAAATTATCAAAAATTTCATAAAAAAATGGTGGCAATTTTGAATTCAGAGACCATCTTGAATATTTCTTGTTGAGCAGGTCCTTTGTCCCTAAGGCTACATCATACAAAATTTGAGCCAAAGTAAAATGCTGGGTTCATCTTTACAAGAAGAAAAATTTGGAACAAATTCAAAAACTGTTAATAGTACCCCACACACATTTTGGTTGCCTACTTCCATGTGCTAAGGTTTTCAAAATTGGCAAAGCCCCTGAAAGTTGAAAAGACTGACGTACCGTACGATCGGACTGTCGAACAGACAGCTTCTTAATATAAATACAATTTTACATTGTAAAGAGCTCCCAGAATTTTTTTTGTTTTTCACCTCCCACCCCCCCCCCCCTCAGATTAACCCCTCATCAAACCATGATACCAGTAATTAACTTTGAATGGCCTAAGACTAAGCTTACTACATAAATAAGCATAATTGTATTAAATCATCTATACATTACTTTTATTGTTCGGTTTCAGTGTAATGTTCACACTGTTCTTACAAATAGACAATACCAGATCTAATGTCATTCAACCAACCCTAATGAAAAGATTTGCAATTTGTGGAAACAACTAGATGATTTTGGATTTAACTTATATCCTGTCATAGCCCTAAAATGTATTTTGCTGGAACATTATTCGTTCAACATTGATACAAAATTCCCTGACATTTCCCTGACACATCTACTGTTTCAAAATTCCCTGACATTTTTGGCCCTTTTTGACCCAATTTTAAAATTCCCTGACATTTCCAGCACCTGGAAAAATAAATCAATTTCCCTGACATTTCCAGGTGTGTACGAACCCTGTTACATGTTCATCATACATTACCTGTATGATATGTATCATATCTAGTTGAAGCTATTGCATATACTATTACATACCCTTATACTGTCTTGTTGAGCTATTGCATTTACTAAACATACCCGAATACTGTCTTGTTGAAGCTATTGCATTTACTAAACATACCCGTATACTGTCTTGTTGAAGCTATTGCATTTACTATACATACCCGAATACTATCCTGTTGAAGCTGTTTTGCTTTCTCTTCAAGCCGTCGTGCAATCGACGCCAATTCCGCATTGCGTTTTTTCAACTTTTTTATTTTTTCTTCAGCAGGTTTTGTTTCATCCTCCTTTCGTTTCTGAAAATTCAAAAATCAATTAGAAAACGTGTCAATTCGGAAAGATTTATTCAGGTTAAGGGGCAAATAATTTCGCTTGATTTCTCTCTAAAATTTGAATGAACAGCCTGATTTTCCACCGTATACCCACCTTAAATGTGACTGAAGCTTCGGTTAACAAGCCATTTTATAAATTTATTCTCAAAACTTACAAGAGCCTCATTTTCTGCCCGCAGTCCAGAGATTCTCTTTTCAAGTCGTGACAGTTGCGTATTTAACTCTCGAATCTTTCGCTGTTCCAGCTCACGATCTTCTGGTTTTTTACTCTGTAAACAAACATCAATAAAAAAAATGAGAAATTTGAATTTTCTGGATTATCTGCTACAGGGTGTCAAATAAACATGTTCTCCCCTACTAGCTTTAACATCCACATAATGTTGCATAACTATTTTGTCTGCATGATATCTGAATTGTTCTTTTGCGCATTAAAACTAGGCTTCATGGAGCAACTCTACAAGAAGTTACAGATGATTAGCTCAACTAGATGCAATTTTATGCACAAAAGTTTATCCCTTTGAAATTAAGGGGGAGAACATATTTATTTGTCACCCTGTAGAACAATTCTAAATATGAACACTTTTTGGTCCCAATTTTTAAATCTACTACCATAGAGATGTTAAAAACACTTGGAAATCTGAATAATTTTGGCAGGCCCCGGTGGAATTCAGATGAGACTTTAATATGTACAATATATAGCAATGACCATATTTAACAGCTCTCAGTAAAAAAATGTTTTCATTTAATCGTATTTAAACCAAAATCAACTGTTTCATTATCGTGTTTATACCAATTAATCAACAGGTTTAAGCTGGTAGATCATGTGAGGACATATTATAATTTCCATTTTAATTGAAATTAATATATCAAATGCTGGTTTAAAAATCAATATAGATTGATTAAATCCAGATTCACCCTGGGCAAAAACCAATGCAATAACACAAAATATCAATGCAAAATGCAATATATCCAGTGACTGTCAGCGATCAACTAGGTGCCAGTAGTTAGATACCAAGTTACCAGTTTCGCAACAAAATGATTAACTTGGATCAGGTATTATCGTAGACATACAAAAAGTTCATTTAAACTCGAATAAAAACACACTTGATAAACTGAAAAGGAAATATCAAACTTAATCTGAATTTTTTTAACATGTGCATCAAAATAGTCTCATTAAGACATTGCATATATTTAAACTGACTTTATGATGAATGACCATCTAAAAGAGGAACATTTCCTAGTCTGATTTAAAGAAAACATGGATGATTATGCTGAATGTAATAAATTTGTAAAAACCAGTATTTTCAAATGAAATGACCAATATTTAAAATCAATCTACAACTGACCTGAGACCCACATGCTAGTTGTTATTTCCACTACTACTATACATTAGGCCAATGTTATGTACCGTATTCTCTCTAATGAGCGCACAGTTCTAATGAGCCTACGTGTCACTTTTATGTTGAATATGGTCTCAAGAAAAATATGTGTTTGATGCATTAGTTTTGATTATTTCATAACAAGATATCGTTTGATTATATTTTATGCAGAGAAAGAATTATATTGGAGCTGTGGAGTATATAAGGGGCGGGGTCAAAATACCGATGTTCATATGGAGACGAAAGTACTTTCGCGAGGGGGGAGGGGGTTTTTGGGCACTTTCGTTGACCAAAAAAACATCGATAATTCGGATCTGATATACAAAAAATAATTGGACTTTTTCTGGCGCTATGTTCTGATAAAAAGGCTTGTTTTCAATAGTTCGTGAGCTTTTTTTGTGTGATAGGTCCAAAATATCGGTAGATGAAGACGATAATTCGATCATTTTTCAAATAAATTCCGTACTTTTCCCTCCTCCTTTTGAAGAGTTCAATGCAGTTAAATTGCGAACGTGTGTTAATTCACCGTAATAATAACCCGGCAAATAGGATACGATTATGCCTCTCATAAATCAATGTTTTTTTGAAGTGACCTAAGCTTTCGTCTAGAGGGGGGGTGGGGGGGTTGTTGTACAAACGAAATTACTTTCGTCTCCATATGAACATTGATATTTTGACCCCGCCCCTAACCATAGTGATAACAAATAAAAAAAAGATCATTTGCGATATTTTTTTACTAAATTTTTTAAGTATGTGCTGTGCACTTATTGGAATCTCTCAATATCTTACCCTCTTAAACAATTTGGAAACAATACTGTACTCTCATTAGAGGGAATACGGTACATGTACCAAATATTTTTTGTTTGGCTGTTTCGATTATGCATGACAATAAATTATTTCTTACTTACCATGGTAACTAACTATTGTTGTCAATAGTGCTACATATAAGAGCTATATACAGGCATTCATCCAGTTACAGAGATGAGTATCTATGGCGAAGAACACATGTTGCACACATTATTTCATATATTTATTTCTCTATTGATCTTCACGTTTCAGGTCTCAAATATGTTAATAAATATCTTTAGCAACATGGCTTTTAAATTATTAATGCTGTTTATTTAGCTGGATACACTTATCGGTTGTAATCTTGGTAATCTTAGTAACCCATCTCGGTATCCTTAGCAACATATCTTGGTATCCTTGACAACATACTTTCAAAGGTGAATTTTAAATTTGTGATGCAATTTCAATAGCAAAACACATATTACAAATCTTGGTATCCTTAGTAACCTAACTTGATATCCTTAGCAACAGCTGCGTCCCTCCTTAGCGATGTATGGTCAGTAACAATCCTCTATAAAATCAGCTATCCTTAGCAACCTTAGCAACAGTAATACTCCTTAGAAACTGTTTGGGATTTTGCACTGCTTGATATCCTTAGCAACAGCAGTTATCCTTGACAACAGTAATTATCTTAAGCTACAGATTAGAAAAACAGTTATCCATCTTTTATAACAACGCAAATATTCTAACCAAGACTAATTATCCACTATTAATTTTGTAAAAGTTTCATCTTGAATGAATCATATTCAATAAAATTACTGGATTCAATCATAAATACCTCCATCTCTCAATGAACATGTGCAATATATATGACTCTTACAAAAAATATCAAGTTCTGGTTTGTTTATTTCATTTAATATAGAAAAATCTAGATTTTGGCATTTCTCGTAATCTTAGTCATTCAAGCCAATTGGTCTTTGCCTTTCTGGAGATGATGTGACATGACATCAATGAGAGATGACATCATGAGACATGACATCATGGCATGACACTTTTATAAGGTCGCCTTCACCAGTCAGCATAGCAATTCACTCTTGCAGAATTCACAAATGTAATTAATTTTCGCATATTTCTAAATAAATGAATCAAAAATTGTCTCTTTTTTTGGATATATGTTATCATTTGTATGAAACAAAATATATTTTCATGCAAAATTCTTATTGTTTCATGATATTCAGTCAGATTGGGTTGATATCTGTAATGACATTTAAAGGATTAAATATTAAAATCAATATCCACAATTGTTATGCACTGTTCAGTGCATAAAATATATTGATCCCTTGCGATGAACAATGTCACAATGGCCATATTACCTGCTGTTGACCACTCATTAAAATAATGTTCATTGAAATCTGTAAAGTGGAGAAGTGGAACACTTCAGAGTCCCAAGACCAACTGACTTAATTTTAAATGAACCTCTATAAGTGGAATACCTCCCAAGTGGAACACTTTTAGAGGTACCAAATGTGCTCCACTTAGAAAGGTTTTACTGTATATGTACATTAAGAGGAAATGCATATCATCCGAAGTGCACAATAAGGGAGGGGGGGGGGTCTACAGGATATGCAGTAGATCTAGAAAGTAGAACGAGTCCATTTGTATGGTAATTGAAAAGTTAGACACAAAACACTTAAGTTAAGAATAGAGAACAGGAAACAGTAAATGAACAAGCTAAATCTAGATCAATCTTATCTGTAACAAGGCTTTAAAATGAATATTAGGACTTGCAATATTGTTACAATTTGTAACAACTGTTACAGAATCCCTTAGGATACTAAAGGGGGATGACAAGCTGTTGAAGCATGATGTATAAATCAGAACTGCCATTCCAATACTAAGAGCATCTCCTTTGCATGCAGAAAGACAGAGATGAAGAAGGGGCAGCTTACCATAATACAGTACAGTTCATTCATGAAACTCTACCTCAGAATCTCAAAATTAATTCAAGAAATGAGTCATGCAAAAAAGGAACAATTCTTGAATGGGAATGGAATAATTGTTTAACCTCTTGAATCCCAGGCTCTAAAATCGGTTGAAACCAGAGAATTTTTCATTTTTGCCACCATTTAACATTTTACTACATACCTATATAACTTGAGATGCTCAACTTAGTATTATTAAACGGCAGAGAGCATTTCTACACATTTTAAAAAAAATTTTGTTTAAATTGGATGAAAATTGTTCAAATAAGAGCAATTTTAGTGAAAATTTTTGTGACAGATTTTCTCGTCACTCTGGGTTTCAAGGTCATTTCTGAGGTGACGAGAAATCTTGTCACTCCAGGTAGTCAAGAGGTTAATGGGAAAGTAAATATTTTTGAATGATGATGGAACTGTTCTTGAATATCTTAGGGCTAGGAAACTATTTTTTAATAGAACTAGAACCAATTCTTGACTAAAGAGGGATTTTTTCTTACAGATCACTTATACAACAGCTGTGATCTCATACAATAAAAAAATTGTAAGAAAAAATTTGCATTTTTTAAATTGCTATGATGATTTTAATATTTAATAATTAGACCAATAGATTCAAAATCGTTTTTATTTAATCAGAAAGGTTAATTATTCAAGATATAGAATATTGAACATTGCATGGTTCTTGTGTATGTGATGAGTTACAGGAACTGTAACAATATGTTACAAATGCTGACCTTCAATTCAATAGTAGAAAATAAAGGAGTGCTGTAACAATATGTTATCACTTCAATAGATGAAGAAATTCTTTTCAGATCAGACACTTGATTGTCACACTTAAAGCAAGCGGGCGCAGCACCTAACTGAGATTTTGAAAACAGACTTGCTCCCACATGAAAATCCATTTGCAGTTTGCAACCACTTGAAAATGGGAAAAATCATGAAATCACCAATATTTTTCTGAATTGTGAAAATGAGAATTTTCCACCGACTTAAGAAAAAAATTCTAGGAAGAACACTGTACTAAACATTATTTTTGGTAATCTTACCAGACAAAGCACATCTTCACTTTGGTATGGTTTCATATCAGCAAACCTCACACGTTTTACATTTGCATCCATTGCCAATGCT